ATTCTTTTTTGTGTCACCTGGTATGGTTTTGTATGTGAAAAAGGGAATGTAGTTAATAACATGTAAGCATTTGGATAAATGTTTCGGTTACTTTTGGTATGTTTAACGTCTTTCATTTTAGCCAAGTTTATAAAATACACAGCTGGATTATGGGAAGTAGAAACAATCTAAGGGTTGGAATCATGGACTTGTAGATAATGGGAAATTGGACCAAAATACCCTTGTTAATGGATGATGTGGTATCACTTATGACATTAATATTTTGTTGCATATAGGGTGTGGTAGAGTGTGGCTCGGTATAATCTACAAATTGGTCCAAAATACCCTTCTACATCGCTTCCCCTGTGTGGACATCTCAACATGAATCTTCATGGATTGGTTGTTTTTGGGAATCAAGTAATCAAGTTGGCTTCTAGCTTTGAATACTCCCATGTCCAAAACGACATATCAACTCTAAATTAGTCCCTTGGTAGCCGTTAAAAAGTCCCTTTGTTTGTTCCCACCCTATCATTTACAGTTTCTTAAATTTCACATGTATTTTACCTTAATTGTAGTGTCTATGTATTTTTCTCTTTTAGTTATATATTTTCAGCCTTTAAAAAAAAGGTTCTTTCTTGAACAAATCCAACTTGTACTATTTCTTTCATTGCAGCTAGCAGCCTTGAATTTAAATTTTCTTCTGCTTGATCTTCTTGGTAATCAACAAATAAAGTATTTATATTTATATAATCTAATATCAAAATAATAACAAAACAACAAGCTATTAAATGGATATATAAAATATGTTTTCTTTTTTCAAAAGATAGACTCAAAATCTTTGGTATCAGTTACGTGCTTAAATCAAATATTTGCAAAAATAGTTTTAATATTTAACATTTGATTTTTAATAGCATGTCCTAAACAAGAGAAGGAAACATTTTTTTTAAACAAGGAATAAGAATGAGATGACACAATAAATAACATGCTTTTGTAAAATTTATTTAATTCTATGTGTTAGAATAAACATTGTAATTTAGAAGTATAATAGGTTTGGGATTGTTTGTGATATATTTTTATATTATATTAAATTTTATAACTGTATTCAACTAATAAATTAAAATAAAGTATTGTAAAATTTATTTAATCCATAATCGTATTTTACAAAACATCATGCACATGAAACAAAACATTTAAAAAAAAAAAAAAAAAAAAAAAAAATCAAATTACATATGAATTAAAGACTACTAGGATTAGCTCAACAAGCCCCACAACTAGAAGCCTAATATGGCGTGACCCCGTCTATGACCTACACATCGTCAAATGTATATAATTGCTTAAAAATTACTTGTAAATATTGTCAAATGCTAGAGAACAAAAGTCATTGAAAAAAATGCAACGGCAGTAAGTATTAATCTGCCATGGCAAATCAGAGTAGAGCAAAAAAGCTTTTTGTCCACATCTACCAATTTAAAGATTTTTATTTTTTGTAATACAATTTATAAGCATGTCATTCATTTTAATTAAAAAAAAGCCCTAGTATATATATATATATATATATATATATATATATATATATATATATATATATATATATATATATATATATATTGTAATGAATTTTTTTTTTATAAATAAGGGTATCATGATATTTACCTGATCAAACCTGAATACCCCGAATTCATTTTGGTTCGGATATCAGTTATAGTTTCAGTTGAAAAACCCGACCTGAAAAAACCGAAACCCGACAGGTATACCCGAACAACAACAGACATAATTTTAATATATCACATTCATTATAGGCTATGTACAATTTATTTTTACCTTCTATTTTTTTTTGGTTCACAAAATACCATATGAGGAGTAAGGCGTAATTATTCAAAGAAAGTTATAGTAAATTTATGATTGATGTGAAAGTTTTATATTTAATTAAGTTATTATAATATATATTAGGTTACAACATGTGTCCTACACGGTTGATAAAATAAAATAACATAAAGTCTAAAAAAGTATAATCATTAATTATAAGTTTTCAACAAGTTACTTTTATATAATATTGAATGTTTATACAACATTGCATGTTTTGTTATTTTTAATTAATATGTGAAATTCGTGAATAATGTTTTGGCCACTATATGTTATTGAGACAAAAAGATGAGGAAAAAAATTTTAAACTACCATACAAATAATTCAATTGGTCGAATTGTGTAGTAAAAAGAATTGCTTTTATAATCCAAATGTTGCATGTCGTGAAAATGATATGGAGATTACGAGCTTTAGTATTTCGTAGTTTTTTTTAAGATTATTTTGGTGATGTTTGTTTTGCTATTTTGTCATCATGTTGCAAATCCTTTATTATAACAGTGTGATTTCTGGTTCACATAAACTGACATTGGTGTTTTCTACTATTTCATTCCCTAGTTATAACTCAGAAATTTTGTGAATGTTTGAAGATCTTTGAGGAATTTGATATTAAAGTTTGTGAATATTTGATGATCTTTGAGGAATTTGTAAAACTTATGTGTTTTCTGCCTAATAAAAACCAATCTCCAGGGTTTTTAACCACCAACCCAATGTCAAAACAATGAGTTAAATTTTTTTTATTCACTGAGTTTAGACCAAAGTTAAGTGCAGTTCATTATAAACTTATAATCACTACACATATATAGAAACTATTAAAGATAACTCCAAGATCTAGAAGACAAAGACATAAAATTCAGAAATCAATAATGCAAAAAAAGCCACCTAAGCACATTAACCCTTGCAACCAAGTATAGGAAAAATATGAAGAATTCAATTGTGTACTACCATCAAATCCAAAGTGAAATGATTTAATAGCATAATTAGATCAATCATGAACACCTCTTACTATCTTATATTACCTTATAAAAAATAATTAGATCAATCATGAACACCTCTTACTATCTTATATTACCTTATAAAAAATTCAAATTGTAGTAGACTGAAAATATGTTTCTTAATTGACATCATTCACTTTAGTTTCATCACATTCCGGCTCCGATTCCGATTCCAATTCTCATTCTCCATCTTCCGTTAGATTTTTCAATGGAAGCAATGACTTTCTTAAGGTCAGAGGTTTGTTTCAAGTTAAAACAATACTTATTAAGTTACTTAGTAAACTATAAACAAAAACGAAATGTTGTTTAATAGTTTTTGGTTGTATATGGGTTTAACATACCGTTATTTATATGAAAATCAGTATGTTCCTGTTCATAATTGGTGAAATAAGTGGCCAAATCCATTGCGACAAAGAAGCCTTGCTGGGTTTTAAAGCAGGACTTCAATATAATCTCAATTGGAATCGTTCGACCACGATGTGTAGGTCATGGATGGGGGTCACCTGTGTTGGCGCAGGATAGTGATTCATGTTATGCTTCCCGCTATGGGGCTTGTAGGGCAAATCCCAACAGAGACATTGGGTGCATTAGAGATGTTGACTTCAACAACTGCTGCTCCAACATAATAGACTTACCGATAACCTACCTAGGTACTTCTGGAAAGTATTACAAACGCTTAATCTGTCATATAATTCTTTCACGGGACCAATCCCAGAAACTATCATGTAGATGGTCGATCTTAATCATCTGTCTTTACAAAACTATCTTATTGGTGGATTACCCAACATATCATCATTTTTGAGTTTGAAGTTTCTTTTTTTAATGTAAGCTGTAACATGTTTACTCGGAAAATACCTAGATTTTGTTGGAAACAAAAAGCTGTGTAACACCCTATTTTTACCGTTCTGTAGGATTCAGTATAAACTGTTGTTTATAATATTCGAAGTAGATATACATTATTTTTAGCAAAAAATAATCATCATAAATGTGTAGGAAACGTCAATACGATTTCCGTAGATATATAGAATGCTTAAATCCGACTTCGTATGAAGAAGTTATGCTTCGTCGAATTTCACGATTTAACCGACACGACTCAACGAATCGTAAAAGGTGGATTTTTGATAGGTTGCTTATTAGCGTAAGAAATCTAAACGAAAGTTGTAGCAGTTGTCAAACCGAGAGCGTGCATATAGAGAACGTTCAAATATGACTTTGTGAGAGAAAATTATGATTTTTCGAAGTTTCAGTGCAGCAGTGCGGACAAAACCTTCCAGCAGATGTAACCCGTGATTGACCAATTGGAGCGTCACTGCTTAGCTCTCGATGGATCTCTCGTCTCCAAATCTGTATACAACAATCTCCAATTTGTACGATTCTACTCTCATTGTTCGATGCAATTTCTCGATTTTGGTTTATTTTACTCTGTTGATTGACGTTAGAAACGCAAGGAAATGTCGTGAGAAAGACTACGTTATTTGGAAGCCATGGTAATAACACCTGTTTATTTGTGGTAAAGTCAGGTCCAACATGCACCATTACCTATACTAAGTTGACCATGTCTTTTTTCCCCTTATTAGTAAAAGTTAAGTGTGTTGCTATTTGTTTAGTTTTTTTTTTTTTTTTTTTTTTTTTTTTTTTTTTTTTTTGGTATGTTCTTGATTGGTGCTTATAGTTTTATACAATGTTGATCAATTGTTGTAGGATGTGGGAGAATACCAAATGCCACTTCTTCATGAGATTGAGATCCGTTTAAAGGCTAAATGTCACAAGTTGGCTAATGCTTTTATTGATGATTTGGGTTAGCTTCACTCTCCTTGCACCACACAAATATGAATCTAAATACTTTTCTATTCATATTATTCGTACAGTGGGGACAAATAGGGACTCATTCTTGATCTTTTTTTATGTGCAAAAGAAGATAATGCCCTTGTGAATTGACACAATTATATCGATTTGTAGGTAACATGGCTTTGAGAATATCAACCCCCATTTTGACACAATCGCAAGGCAATATCAATGAATAGTGAAGGTAGGTTAACCATTCATTTATAAGATACGATTTTACTGAATTTAATTAAATAAAATGTAAAATGAGTTAAAAGTTTAAAACATATCATTTTTCAGAAACTAGCGAATATGGAACGGTATTTTCCTCAACCTCGTCTTTTAGCTTCTTATCATTTTACAGAATTCTTCATAGTTGATTTCACCATCCTGTTATTAAGGTCAAAATCGTCATTTTTCTCGAATAGTCTTTAAACATCAGATATATTCAACAACACTTTATTCAAATAGTAATAACTTACAACATTCACTTGAATTTCTGATATTATATCTTTAATGGCAGCCTCATCTCCCATTTTATATTCTTCCAACATTGATTTTAGTTCATCTTTTGAAATACGTCTGCCATAAATTCCACATCATGATCCAAAACTCAAAAACAATAAATTTGTAGAAAAACGTGTACAAAATAGAGGACATTACAGAAAAAAAAAACCAATATATATTGGGCAATTTATAAGTTTAACCACTAGTATGTTAATTCCTTTAATCAAAAACATAAATGGTATAGTCTTATAGACTTTTTTTTTCTTCCAAATCAAGCATTTTAGCCTATTTTATTTATGTTTCGCCTATAAGTTTCCAGATTAACTATTTTGATCCGGTCAAAATGGTAAATTTGGAAAAATATTTGTAACTTTTATATATTTTCCAATCAAGGCATAAAAGTTTCAAACGTTTTTCCAAATCACCCAATTTGACCTTTTATATTAGTATTACGTTTCATTGGTAATTGTTATTTTCTTATATCAGATTTCATCAGTAATGTAAATGTAATATAATTGTCGAATCAAGTCAAATTAAATGGTTAATTTGGAAAGTCGTTTAGAACTTGTAAATTTTTTTCCCAATCAAACAATAAAAGTTACAGACATTTTTCCAAAAATGACCCTTTTGACTTGTTATATGATCATGTCGAAATAGCGAATTTGGAAAAAGAGTAAATTACAGATTTGGTCCCAAAAAAATTTGTCTTGCAGTTTTGGTCCATATTTAAGCTTTCTAAATAATTCTTTTTTGGGCCAAAATTGCAAAAACCAGAAAATGGAAATCGATTAAAAAAATATATATATATATTGTAAAAAAATATAACAGGTTTTCTGATTTCTTTAATTTGCCCTAAAATGCATACGATGCTTACTTGTTATCATCCTTGTCAAATTTCTGAAAAGCTTTACGAAGGTGTTCCTCTTTATAAGTTCTTCGAAAGTTCATCATGGCTGTGATAAACTCATTGTAGTCGATCAATCCATTCCTATCTGCATCAGCCTACAATACAAAATTACAAATACAATAAGTGTAATATTTGTAATTTTTTATATTTTATGAATTATATAAAGTTTTTTTTTTTTTTTTTTTTTCTTTTTTTTTTTTTTTTTTTTTTTTTGAGGATTCTCACAGCTTCAGCTATTATTTTGATTTCTTCAGACCCAAGATTTGATCCGACCCTAACTAATGACTTCTCAAGTTCTTCACGTGTGATAATTTTGTCTTCGTCTGTGTCTATATTATGAAACATTGCTTTTAGTCCCTCCTGTTCGTCTGGTGGGATGATATCCGCAATAACCTAAAATATATGAAAAGATAAGGCTGAATGAGTTTTTTTTAATAATAAAACTAAAAAGTAAAACATAATAAATGCTTGTTCCAAGTTCCAACCAAAATTTAAAGATTATAATAAAAAATTTTGACAACTTCAATATTATACTCCCTCCGTCCGAATATTATTGTTCACACACAAAAAACACACAGATTAAGAAAAACATTAATTACCACTAACTTTATATAATAAAATGATAATTTTGTCCTTACTTTGCATTTAATGTTTCATTAAATATTTATTTGGTTAAGTAATAATGAGGGAGTATTTAGTAAAAATGCTATTTATTTTAAAAAATGAACTATTATTTTGGGACAAACCAAAAAGGAAAGATGAACTATAATTTTAGGACGAATGAAGTATTATATTTATACACCTACTATCCTTGTAATGAAATTGAAAGTTGGTCCAAATTCCAAACTGTAATAAAATATATATGTTTTAGTTGTTTCTAGAAAGTAAAATTATAATTTAATCACATTTATTCTAGAAAAAAAAATATTGATCACATAAATAGAATTTGGATTATATATATTACGGTTTTCATTCCATTACATCTACAAAATTGGAGGAATCAAATCCTTCATGAATGTTAAACCATACCTGGAGTGCGAATCTTTGGAATTTGTTCATAGCTCTAAAGTTCTTCATCCTAACAAGAAACTCATCATCTATTGGATTTTTGGTTGCTACACCATTGTCCACCAACCACTGATCATCTAAATGTTAAAATAATCAAAATCAAATAATCAACTTGCAAAAGATAGTGTTTTAATGATAAACAAGGCTACGCCAATGTTATATAAGTAATTTCACTCTCCCTTCCATTTGGATTTGCTAATTAATTTTGTTATGTTAGAAACATACTAAGAACATCCGCAGCAGTTGGGCGTTTCTTTGGATCCACCGTGAGCATCTTCTTCACCAATTCTTTCGCGTTCTTTGAAATCAACGGCCACGGGTAGTTCTCCATATCGGGATCTGCCTTCATTATCGCGTGAAATATCTCTTTCTCATCTTCTACAAAAATAAAAAAATTTGGATGAGTAAATTTTTTTTAGAGGTAATTTAAATGCTAAAAAAAAAAGATAGGGAATCTTGTAATCTTATTCTTACCACCATAAAAAGGTGGCACTCCGGTGAGTAACATATATAGAATCACCCCTGCGCTCCATATATCCACTTCTTTTCCGTATCCTTGACGCCTCAAAACCTCGGGGGCAACGTAGAATGCGGTTCCAACTTTCTCTTGGTTAAGTTTTCCTAGAAAAAAGGTTGCATATTTCATTTTAATTGGGAATTCATAAATTGATTCAATACGATAAATAGCAATGTGTTTTTATTGTTGTTTTTTTTTTTTTTTTTTTTTTTATGGGATCTTGTTTTTATTTCTTCCTATTGCAACGTTGTATTATAAATAAAACGATGTCGTTATAGCAATGGCATATTGGCATCTAAATATAAAATAATTTTCACACTGTTATAATTGGTAGATTTTTCAAAGTATAATATTATGATGAGAAAATAAATAAAAGTATAATGTCTATAATGTGGTAGATATTACAAAGTATAATATTATGATGAGAAAATAAATAAAAGTGTAATATCTATAATGTGGTAGATTTTTCAAAAGTACAATGTCTTATAATTACAACAATGTATACCAAATAGAAAATGGTTTTCACTACTATAGTTGGTAGATTTTTCAAGTATAATATTCTAATAATAAAAAAAGTTAATTGTAAAATGCTATAATGATTTCATTGATTTGTTTATTATATCATAATACTTTTATTCCTTACTATTATAATATTATTCATGAAAATATCTATCTAATTATAGCAATATCATCCAAATATAAAACAATTTCTATGCTACATGGTAGATTTTTTAAAGTATAATATCCTTATAACAAAAAAAATGTATAATACTATAATTGGATACTATTTTAAAATACAGAAAAAAACATTAAAAATACCTTCCTCGATATAGGCGGATAATCCAAAATCAATTGCTTTCAACATGGTATAATCAGCATAACACGGAAGAAACCCCAAAACACCTCTTTTTGACAACAAAAAATTCTCGGGCTTCAAATCTCTATGCATCACACCCATAAAATGCAAAGAATAA